GAGAGAGAGAGAGAGAGAGAGAGAGAGAGAGAGAGAGAGAGAGAGAGAGAGAGAGAGAGAGAGAGAGCACGATGAGCACGTCATGTGCCGTCGCCTGCCGTAGCTTGCCGTAGCATGCCGTTGCGTGCCGTAGTGGCCGAGACAATTGAGAAGCCCGCCCCTTCGAAGGGGCGGCCGAGACAATGAGAAGCCCGCCCCTTCGATGGGCGATTTCAGGGCTGGGCGCGGGCGGGCGTTCAGAAGGACCGAGCCGGTATCGCACGGCCCAGATTGCGGGCCGGTCACCACCTGCGGATGGCCCAGAAAAGTTTCTCATCGGCCTGCGATCTGGGCTGTCCACGGGTGGTGACCGGGCCGCAACCTGGGCCGGTAGATATGACGTTAGCGATTCTTATAGTATTGTAGATTATCAAGATCCGGAAAATTTTCGTGGAAAACCCCAAGTACTGCAATCGGGAACCATCATCATCATCATTGTCATTGCCATCAAATTGGACACCGTTGAAGACCGAAAGAACAAACAAACGAGGGCATTGAGAACCATCATGGTTTATCCTTGTTAAAGGCGTCATCACCATCGCTATCATCACTCTCGTTATCACCACCATTGAGAAGGGACGACATCGAGGCGGGAGGGGGGGGGGGGGGGGGGGTGTAACTCAACATGCAACTACACCGCTTCACAGCATGAAGAAAGACGACACCGGCCAGGGAAAACGAAAGCAACAAAGAAAATAAACAATGAGATGGGAAGGAAAACAGAGGAAACAAGTCCGTGCACCAGGGAGAAAGGGACGGACAGGGCCACACTGTGTGATGAGTGGGTGATGTTGCCAGGCACCAGATGAACAACAGTCCAAACCGCTCACTCACCCCTCCATGATGCTCCTGGCTGCAGCCACAGACGCACGGTTGCCCGTAATGAGGGGCGCCAAAGATAGGAGTTGAACGCACACTGCATTTCCGGGATCCGGATATGGCGGCGCCTCTCGTCATCATCCATGTTTGCAATTAGATGTTTCAGTGCATCGTTGTCACCACTCTTGCAAAGCCCGAACGGCTGGATGAAATCCGTCATGTTCCACCATTGATCCAGGAACTGCATGCTCCAAGAGGAGTTGCGTACGAAGAACATACCTGCATGACACAGCATGCGGTCAGGAGCGAAACAGGAAACCAGCGGGAGGGATGGCATACTCCCACAAGGATTGTGTGGACTGACACATGCCACCAGAATCCCACCCACCCGTCATCACCAGTCCCTGACAAAGCAATAGCCAATACCTCAGCAGGGAAAGTAGACGCGTCGGCAACAAGATTCAGGAACCCCCGGTGCCCGCTAATTTCACAACAATTGAAAACAAAGATGAACACAAACAGCCCAACCACCTGCATGGTAAGCCAAACAACAGCTGGCATTAGAAAAATGCCTAAAGTACGCTATATAGCAAGCTGAAGGGCACATTTTGTGTTACGTACATACCACGGCCACAGAGTCGTACAGACATTGGTGCTCATTTTGTCTTTCGCATACCAATAACAACGGCAGAACAGGTTAAAAACACAAGAACCATGCTTCATCCATCAAATAGCAATCCATGTATCACATAGCGCATGCATCAAATAGCATGACACGTAAGGGCATTCATCAAAGAATCCCACAGTGCTCAGGCTGCTAACCCTGTTTCTGAGGCATCCAAAAGTATGCGCAAGGAGAACGCAAAAGTGAATGACATGGACAGTCCGCAGCAGCTAGATACTTTAGTTCTGCTCACCACAAACATCACGTGCATCATTACATTACATCTTCTGATTTTACAACAGATATCACCAAGCGCAGTGCCAGCGGTGTGTATACTGCTTCTCCAAAGCCTACACATAAAGCTGTGGAGGGACAAAGGCGCGCTCCCAACCTCTGACTTTGGACTTCCTGCCATAGACACCCTAATTTCTGTGCTCTTCTGAAATTCTGTCGTCCAAATGTGATCTGCAGTTTACATGGTGCTGGAACGCCCCTTCCAGGCCACAACTGACGATGGTGTCAGCATCGGATCAAACTGCAGCAGCGCCTGACCATGAGATTGACAACGGCACCAGCCCTTGATCCCTGAAGCTCGGAAAGATCAATCAAACACAGTCCTCTGCCCAAACAGTAAATCCCTGCCATGGTTGTGGCCCAATGGACCACAGATCAGATATTAAGCGGATTAGAACAAATACTACACTTGATCTTATAGACAAAAGACCGCAAAAGGTATACGGCACCACCTGCGACTACGGTGGGGCCTGGATGGGGCCTTCCTGCGCCACGGCCTCGTTTCCACAAAATGGCCGGGAGTTCCTTGCGACTACATCGGGTAACCAACCAGTACAGCCCACAACTCTCCAGCAGGCTGTAGACTACATATTGGACTGTTAGTGCATTCATCTGTCCAAGTCTTGAATTCATGTTACTGCTTGTGTATACTTGTCAGTCCGATCCAGTTACTGCCTTTCCTACCTCGGTAATAATGCACAGAGTACTGAAACCAAATCCATGAAGCTCACACCATCAGCACCATGCACAAAACACAATTCTCAATTAATGATAACCACAAGGTGATAGCAACGTTGGTCAGGACAAAGGAAGAAGAAAAGGAGGAGGATGTTAAACTCAAATACTAGTCATTTGGTACAGTGTCTTTTCTCGCCTTCCCCCTCTACCTGCCGGCACTTCTCTCTTCTCACTACCTCTGCCGCACCCCGCACACAAACACAATGCTCAATTAAAGATAACCACAAGGTGACAGCAATGTTGACCAGCGTCAAGACAAAGGAAGAGGAACAGGAGGAGGATGACAAACTCAAATACTAGTCATTTGGTAGAGTGTCTTTTCTCACCTTCCCCCTCTACCTGCCGGCACTTCTCTCTTCTCACTACCTCTGCCGCACCCCGCCCCCCACCCCCCCCCCCCCCCCCCCCCCCCCCCTCTCTCTCTCTCTCTCTCTCTCTCTCTCTCTCTCTCTCTCTCTCTCTCTCTCTCTCTCTCTCTCTCAAAACTTACTCTTTCGTGATAAGCTATAGTGCAGGCACACCTTCGACTCTATCTATGACTGCTCTCACTCTCACTCTCTCTCCTCTGTCTGCCCTCCTCCAGCGCTAGCGCCCAGTTGGCAGCGCTCCAGCCTTCAGCAGCCCAAGGCAGAACGAATGCATGAGCTCGGGCAGGCCCAGATATTGTACTGTTGACTCTTGCAATCTGTAGAGCCAAGAAATTGTCTCGGCCGGGTAACCCAACGAGCCTTGAAGCTCAAGAGAACCAATTGGACAATAACACTGGTCAACGTAATGCTTGTCTACTGAAGCGAACCACTATTTCTGTCCTTGCCGCAATCACCCTACAGGTATGGTAAGCCTCTCTCTCTCTCTCTCTCTCTCTCTCTCTCTCTCTCTCTCTCTCTCTCTCTCTCTCTCTCTCTCTCTCTCTCTCTCTCTCTCCCCACACACACAGAGGATACTACAGGCACACCTTGTACTCTAGCTATGCCTACTCTCACACTCTCTCCTCTCTGTTTTCATTCTTCCAGCGTGAGCACCCAATCGGCAGCCCTCCAGCATTCAGCAGCCCAAGGCAGAATGAATGCATGAGCCGGGGCAGGCCCAGATTCTGTAATGCAGACTCGGCCTGGCCTGCCTCTCCCGATCTGTACAGGCAATAAATTCTCACAGCCGGTGTGTGCCTTGACCCAATGAGCCTGGAAGCTTCCCGAAACTATTGCCGAGCCTTTGGATTCTGTGTGTGATCGACGGCCATGATTCACTCGTGTGAAATCTGCGACTCCTTGACTTCTGTACCCGGGTAGGGCCTGTCTGTTGATTTTCCTAGGGCCCACCGACTTCTAAGGGCCATGAGCACCTCGATTTGACTGTTGACCCCCGACATACCAAGCTAAGGACTTTGTGGAGCCTCTCTAGAGGCTTCAGGGCCAACTTGACCTTAGAACTTCGGCTTTGCCAAAAGCTACGGCCCTAAGAGTTTGTCTGTGCTGGACTTCAACTCAGTCCCTTGCAACAGGTGATATAACAAAGAACAATCATAACAAAGGGAGAAAGTCCAGACTATGTTTGGCACCGAGGTTGGAGAGAAATTCATCCGTCTTAAATCATCAGTACATGACCCCAGGCAACTTCAGAATCAGCTCATTCCAAAAGGTTGTGGAGTCCTGGGGCAACGGGACCAAAATGGCTTGCAGCACCAGCTAAAACGAAAACAAAAACGTCATGCAGGCGTTTGGGTAAGCTTGGTGGGCAGGGGAAGTCTGCCTTATACAAAAGAGGCTCGGATGTACTGGTGGTTTAAAATTCACTTACACCTAGGCTATCTGCCCACCCGGCCAGGCACGCCCTGCCGAGGAGACACAGGGAGATCTGCCAGGGCACCTGGCCTTCCTGTCGATTTGGTGATGTGCCAGTGGGCAGGTGGGAAGGGTTCAAAGGAGTTTACGTTAACTGAAAGGATTTCACATGTCAGTCAAGTTATCCAGGTCCCATATGTCCCAATGGTCTCAGTCCCATGTACCATACACCAGCCGGCAGTCCCTTTGGCTGAAATGCCGATTCGGGTCCCTTAGGTCATTAGGAGCCCGTGGAAGTCCACATTGGTAGAAGTTCAGGTAGTCCTGGTACCCAACAGAAAAAGTAGAGTCCCAGTCCAAATTTAGCAGCAGCATGCAGTGAAGGTCCAGGAACTTCCCGAATCGACACCAGTGCGGCCGACAAGACCCTGGGACACCATTACCGGGTACTTAAGCCGCTGGTACATGCCCCATCCTTGTGGAGATTTACGTGTCACCTACTATGAAAATTTCGCACCTCGGGCCTACCAGACCATGATGGCTGGTGGCACCAGCCAAAAACGAGAAAAAGTGCACCACTGGCGGTTCCGAAAAGCTTGGCGTACTGGTGGTTTAACCTGCTACAGTGCCTAGCTATGATGAGATGAAAAAAAGAAAAAGGAAAAGGAAAAGAAAGCTGCTACAGTGCCTGCAGGTTTCACTTGCTCATTGGCATGTTGAGGAAGCGTTGCTGTACACGGTTGTCTGATGGTTCGATGAGACTGGTCAGGCGACCCGGTGGCGTAACCTCGCGTGAGGCACCATAGCTAAAAGGTCAATTGAGAGTGAAGAGAGACAAAGTCACTGATAGGAAAGTGCGCGCTGAGTACATTGAGAGAGAGAGAGAGAGAAAGAGAGAGTGTGTGATACAAGCAAGAGTAGAGAGAGAGAGAAAGAGAGAGAGAGAGAGAGAGAGAGAGAGAGAGAGAGAGAGAGAGAGAGAGAGAGAGAGAGAGAGGACTTTCACACCTGAGAACGTTTGGGCCTGACGGCCATAGCCGCCAATACTCGAGGTCAGACAATTGCCACAATTTTGTAATTTGGACTATTAATTTCGAGGTTGTGATGATATCTTTCTCGTTGCTTTGCTTTGCATTGCGCGTGTTGTGTGTAGTTTGGGAGACTGCGTGATTGCCAAATTGGAGTCAAATTGAGTCTGATCCTTGCATAACTCTCATTTTCTATTTCATCTATAAATTAGTAAGGAATTTTGAGGCGGCCCTCAGCCAAATCTTTCAGTTGCAATTTGCCAACTTTACACTTTTTCGGAGTTTTTCCTGGATTTTTTCCTTTTTTTTTTTTAATATTCCACACTGGGACTGCGCAGGAGCATGCCCAGACCTCACCCAGCCGAGCCCACCGCCTGGATACCCAGACACCCAGAGCCAGCCTGGGACAATCAATCTGACAGCCTAGATTTAAACCAAACATGGCAGCGAGAGATGTATCAAGCAGATGCACAAGGCACAGAGAGCAGCAGCACAGCAGGGGGAGCGTCGAGAAGACCCTCCAAACAAAATCTTCTCACGATAAATCTGCAGCAATGCCTCACTGTTTTTGCCTTGCAGTTGTTCTCAGTGTAGCTGAACATCAGTTTCTTTATCAACTTTACCTGATTCGGTCACATCACGATGGTACTTCCTCAGGTGAAAATGACAACGGCCTGACCTCTTCTTCTTCTTCTTCTTCTTCTTCTTCTTCTTCTTCTTCTTCTTCTTCTTCTCCTCCTCCTCCTCCTC